TGGCACTTCATCCATTTGATAGAGTTTTTCTTTGTATATTGTCTGCATAAGTTTAAAGTAATAAATCTGGTTTGCTTTAAGGCACAAAATATAGACTTTAAGCAGTCTATATTTTGTTTTGCAAAATATAGACTGCTATAAAAATTACAAACATTTCCTTAACATTCATGAAATCAAGTAATTCCTGTTCACATCCGGCACTCAGATCAGTGCTGGACATGTTTAAATCCCAGTTAATGCTAGATATGTTTCATGAAAAACAACTCACGTAACACTCAGTTTTTCGAATTTGTACATGATTTACACTTAAACACCCATGCTGGAGCGCAAACTGATATTACATTAATCAATTTTGCAAAAGCTTTTGATACAGTACCTCATGCACGTTTAATTTCAAAGCTTCGTCACCTTCAAATTGACCCCTTGGTAGTTGACTGGATATCGGATTTTCTTACCAACAGAACCCCAATCAGTGATGGTTGACAATAGTATTTCTTCTCAGGTGCCTGTAATCTCTGGAGTGCCCCAAGGAAGCGTTCTCGGACCCTTACTTTTTTTAGTCTATATTGACCTCCCAAAAAGTTTTACGTCAACAATTAGGCCCTTTGCTGATGATTGTGCTATCTATCAAAAAATATCGTCCCCAGCCGATCACTTAGTTCTCCAAAACGACCTGAACATAATCAGCGAGTGGTGTGTTACCTGGCAAATGAAAATAAATTCTAGTAAATTCCGCGTATTAACAGCTACAAACAAAAAAACATTGTCATCTTTTTAATATTCATTTTTAAATGAGGTTATTGAAAATGCACCACCCTATATGTACTTAGGGGTTCATTTTACCAGCAACTTGTCCTGGAAAACGCACATAGAGAGCACAATTGCAAATGCATCTAAGAAGCTCGGTTTCTTAAAGCGCAACATTTATTCTGCTCCACAAACAACGAAGGTTATAAGCCAATCACCCTTTCCAAACTAGAATATGCCAGTATTATGTGGAGTCCTCACCAAAACGTTTTAAAGCTAGAAGCTCTGCAGAATAAAGCTGCGCGATTCATTTGTCACGACCTTCACAAGTGTCGCAGACCTAAAGAGAAGCTTGGGCTTAGGCCTTTTAGAGATTCGGCGAAAAATTGCTATTTTTCATCAAATATATTACGACGGATCATTATTCAAAACATTTCTCTGCTCACCGGCACGGTTCACATCTGGTAGACTTGATCACTCTTTTGAAATTGAACCGATCAAATCCCTTACTAACCTGTTCATGTTTTCACCACTCCCTTTAGCCATAAAGGAACGGAATAGTCTCCCCAGTGATGTTGTGGTTTTATCTGACCCGATAATGTTGAAACAGAGTTGCGAAGAGTTGTTTCGTTTACCTGCTGTTCCATGACGGTTTTTGTATTATTGTTAACTTCAGTGTTTCTACTGTTCGAGTTCCACAATGGGTGTGCAATTTATTGCACATTTTCCTCTTTTGTACACTTTGTCGTTTGTTTTTTTGCCATGGTCAATAAGTTTGTTTTTATCAAAGTTTCTCATATATGTATAAGTCACGACTTCTCGCCCATTCTTGTCATTCCCCCCTCCTGCAATGCATCAATAGATGCTTTTGAGGCCAATAAATAAAATGAAATGAAATCCCCCAAAATTAAAACATTGTAAGCTGAAAAGTAAACAAAATTAGAAATGTGGGTGGTTTTGTTTTCTGAAAAGAAAACAAAACCCCCCTCATCGGTGCGCCACTGCGCATACCCGACAAGAGATGGCGCAGGTTGAAATTATCGGGAAGCGTCCGACGCTTCAACGCTTGACTGCGAAGGAGAAATGGGCCTGTTGGGGGAGCCCCAACTCTTCTCCAGAACAGGGATATTTATTTGTCGGGAGATACCTGACAGATGGCCCCAAAGGGTTAAGTAAAGTATAAGTACATGTACTTCAAGTAAAGTACAAGTTTTGTAAACCTACTTTAAGGAGCACTTTAAGCACAATGTACTTAAAGTACTTCTCAACGCTTATCCTGAGGTTAGCAGTGCAAGATCAACCACACGCACTGACACACAAAAGGACAAACACATGCACTGACTTACAACTCGTTTTGTATTCTGTTACTTCTTCGTTCTCGTCATTTAAGGTTGGCTCCTCCAATCCCCCTGACCAGCACATTAGCACGAATACGGGAAACACTTCTAAATATGCTTCTCACTCCTCACCGCAATTATCAGAATAAAAATTCGAGCTCTTTTTGAGACAGTGTTATGGACGGACTACTAACACACTTGTCAGCATGAAGTGCTATTTTTTGAGCTTCCATTATCTCTCTGATAAGGGAAGCTAATGGAAGGAAGAATGGTGTTTGTCCTTTTCTGTGTCGGTGTGTGTGATTGATCTTGCGCTGTTAACCTTAGGATATGAATCACCAACTCACCCAAGTTTCCATTTGATCAAGTTTCATTCCCAACACTGCTTTTCGTTTTATATTGTGGATATCTTTGATTGTCTCTGAACATACGTCGGATATTTGATTGTTTATACTGTTTATTCTTGCATCTCCATTCAATATTTGTGTGGCCTCTCGATATGGAAGGCAGTATTGCCTTTACAAATAAGATTCTTTTATTTATGTTTATTAATTGAATGGCCAAGAAATCATACTCGGCTTACTTGTCCCCACTTGGCACTCTGTTGCAGTATATATGTGGTGACTGTTATCCTGTCGTTTTACCTCACATAACTAAGGCTATACCGACCCTTATTCTACCCTTTGATTGCATCAGTGGCTGTCACTAAGAAAACACGTTGCAGTTTTTGTAAAATGGATAGATTGTTTAGCCTGTCACAATGACTGCCTTCACAACTGCACTCAGATATCTTTCCGCACATTAAAATGGCCAAATATATCATTGTTGAATCGAAGACACAATGAATTAATGGCCAAAAGAAGACAGCTAAATTAAGACAAATCTGCAATTTCTTTCAATACATCTTGTACCTTTTATGCATAAAAATATTAAAGTTTACAAGGGTCTCTTCATATTTTTGTAAACTTTAATATTTTGATGCATGAAAGGTTCGACTATTTATTTCCAAACATATATCGCATTCACACCGAAATGTCCCTGCACCGAAACATCCGTGCATCGAAATGTCTGTGCACCGAAACGTCTGCGCACGGAAAAGGCCACACCAAGAAGTCCTACTCCGAAACGTCCTGCACCGAAATGTCCGGATCCTGCTTCAACTGCCCATCCCCTCTCTCCCTCCTATGAAATCTCTCTGGTTCATACCTTTCAGTGTTACAAAAACAGAACTCTAAGAAGCACAAATAGCGTGGCCCAAACTGGAAACCAGAACGGTGGCCTTTGTCATGACCCAACAGTACAATGACCTGTTCTGGATGAGCCTTGATGAGATAGGCAATAAGAACCTTTTTGTCAATGGTCACAGATGTGAAAGAAAACTGCGATGGCTTTTTCTCCACTAACCAAACTTAACATAGCATATTTTTTTTTTATTTTTCCTTTTTTTCTTGGCATTGGCACATTGAAATCCTGAGTTTATTGGATAAATTCGAAGTGACGAAAAATTTACGGGCAGCTGTTTCGTGGAGTTTTTCGGATGTATTTGAAAAACCGGAACCCTATCTGTGAGCCATGAGAAAACCACTATTTGTATGGATCAGCTGGGAGTCCGTACACTCGGATGACAACGGTGATTGAGTTTGCCAGACTAAGTTTTGCAAAGGGTCTCTGTAGCCATAATATGCACACATAGCAGAGCGCGTTGGATCTCATCGTCAGCAGGCCTCCAACGTCAGCATGACCGCCTTCTCCAAGCCGGGTATCCAGCAGACCTACTCCATAGTAGCCTTCAGCATCTCATTACAGGCCCCAACCGTCGATCATTTAACAACAAAGGACACAGCCACACACGCCCGGCTTGTATTCCATATGTGCATAATACTGCCCATCGCCTGAAGAGTCTCACTGCCCGCTTCGACACAAAGGTGGTATTCACATGTCGGATGAAGCTAAAACAAATGTGCCAAAGGGTAAATAACGAAAGTCGTCCACCAGAATGCACCATCAAACACTTCAACAAATACGTCTAATGCCAAGAGAAGCCAATTTATTCTATTCCGCTCGGTTGTGGCAGCCAATACATCGGCCAGACGGGACGATGCCTGAACGTTCGCCTTAGGGAACACTTTCTCGAAGTCAACAAGGCGTCATCCGACTCCTACTATCCGATTGTTGTCCATGCCCGCACCTACCAAGATTGCTCTCCTACACTCCGTTTCACCTTATGTTGTACCGCAGCGAAGGCTAGAAGCGCGAGCTCATAGCGTTGACAGCTGCCCTTGGTGTACGAGAGCTTGTGCCGCCGAGATGTGCCCTAGAGCAAGGAGCTTGCGCTTGTAGCCTTTCCTGCGGTACGACACAAGGTGAAACAGAGTATAGCTATGAAAACACTACCGTGCTAGGCTCACACAAGGACAAGTATGGCCGAGAGATAATCGAAGCATTTAAGATGAAAACTGCCACAGACAATGTTTCCGAGCCCTCAATGTCGTTATCGATATCAGAGATGGATTTCCTAGCGCCGGAGCTGTCATAGAAAATATCTCCTCCAGTCTCTTCTTCTTCTTCCCTCTCAGGAAGTTAAATTCAGCTATCTTTATTTTTATCTTTTTGTAGTATCTTCTAGTATTTTCGTCTTGACTTAATTTTCTCTGTGACCAAAGTGGTTCATCATACTGTAATGGGCATCATTTAAATGTAGTTGCTCGTTGAAAGAACTGTGTGTGTCTGTCCCTCGTGTATTTTCTGTCGTTTTATTGTTTCCGTGTGATCTGTAGCCATAATATTCCTGGAGTAAAATTCAAGTAGATGTTGGGTGCTCGGTTGGGTCTTCGGTGCTTTGCTTTTTTAAACAATCCATCAGTAAGCACAAAAAACGCCGCCTGAAGATGTTTTGTTGGTTTCCGACGCACGCAGATTGAGAACATCATGTGCGTGGCTGAAAAGATTCGGCAGTCGGGGAACCATTACTTCAGGAAGGAAGACTTTGTCAGAGCACACTCAAAATACAAGAAGGCGCTCAGGTGAGCATGCTTTTTTGGTTTCCTCTGCCTTTTTCAGCCCTATCCATTCTTTAATAGCTTCTTAAAGGGCCCCTGAAAAGAGAAATGTTTTTGTTTTTTAACAGTCTGGTTGGGGCACGCGTGTAAAAAAAGAAGTTTTACGCGCAGAAAAAGTTCTTTTAGAGCAGTATTGATGGCGCAAGATTGATTTCAAATTCTGCGCGCAGTCCACAACGTGGCGGAATGGTCTCACACTCTTTCCACCTCAACGAGATGGTCGTATTATAGACCTTTCCAGCGGCAGTCTCAAACAAAGTGATTTACAGTGCGCGTCCCTGGTTTTGAGATGGTGCGTCAGTGTTACCTGACTGCGCTGGGCTGTGGGTTTTCTAGTCGGTGGGCTCAGGCAGCCTGCTTAGGTGCACTTCCGGACGCTGGACGCTGAATCGCCGCGTTCTATTTTTTATATTGTGTTCTATGGCGAATATAATTTCTCGGAAGTTTTTAAGACTGCATTTTACTATTTTTGGGAACAAAAACAAAGAAATGAAAGCTGTTTTGGTGAGTCCTTGCTCGACAGAACAAATGCAACTGGAATGTTTGTTTCACATTATGTTGATCTTTTTACAGCACCGTACACTCAGCCGTGTCAACCTGCAAAGGTCGTAGCCGTCAAAAATATTTGATTACAGAGGATAGCCGAACTGCATGGATATGCAGTTCATATATCCCACTACATGAAATTCAACCAGTCTCATCAATCGAGCAACATATATTGTACGTACCCCACTGTGCCACATTATTTTAACAGGATTTGAGAAAGGTCTCAAATAACACAGCATATCCAATATACAGTGTCGACAATAGTCACTTCACGACGATTGGACGGAATGCGGCGTGTTTTGGGGAACATCTAGAAGAGAGCTGCTTTTTTGCACAGCTTCAAAGCAAATGAATGAACGTGTCTATTCCGTCCCCACACCCCAGACCTGACCCTATCGGCTATTTTTCGCCAAGACCCGGAACATAGCCGGGAAGGCTTTTTGGAGATTATCTCGACGGAAATAATCCTCCAAGAACGTCGAACTGCCTGCGTCGCGGGCTGCTTGACGTTCGCTCTCTTCGTTCGTTTCCTGCAAAGGCCGAGCAGGCTAAGAGCCCTGGCATTCCCTGGTTCTCACAGTGGAAGGTAACACTCAATGGGTAAGCATCCTAAACAGGCAAACAAAGTAAAAACTTCCAAGAAAAGCCAGCGAACTCCGAATGCACAATGCAGGTGGGGAGTCACGCTGACCGGGTTTCCACAGCTCAGGCGGGTGCCAGAAATTTCTGGCGGATAGGGGTCGCTCGATTTGCAAAATGGCGGTGGCCAGAGCGCTCTTTTTGCAAAGTCTGCATAGGGGTGTCGCAAACTTTTGTCAAACCGGATTTTTAAGTCAAATTTTCGGGGTTCGGCTGGGTCGAACCGGTTCGACGAAACCTTCAAACTTTTAACCAGATTCGACCGGTTCGACTTTCTGGACATTGTGGCCAGACCTTGATACAAACATGTCTAAATTGGGAAACAAAGTTTTATGCAAAAGGTTATTTTAACTTTGTGAACAGTTGCAATTAAAAGAAACTAATTCTAATCACTGAAGAAGTTGATAACTTAATTTGTTGTACTGTTTTAACTGAAATAACCAAGCAGTGCTGCCCTTAATTCATCCCTTAGCCATCACTATCCAATCCGAATCCAACTGGCCAGCCTGTCGCACATACGCATAGCAGTTGAACCTGAGTCGAACCCGAGTTGAGCATATGGCGCATGGTGCATTCACGAGGGTGCCTATCAAACCACTCTGCCAGTTTGGCTGCGAGGCAGCTAAGTAGCTGCCTCGCCTCAGACACAATCAGTAGGTTGTGTTGTCGCGGGGTCGATCGGGATCCCGAATTCGGCTTCCGACGTGCCGCTTTCTCTCCTAGCCACACGATGGCGCTGCAGGCGCCCCCGTGGCGGGCGAGGAGAAACCTCCTTGCCCATCGATCGAGATATATACTCGGTGGGCTAGGGGGCGAGAGGGCTCTTAGAACTCCGGACGAGACCGAGACACAGGCAAGTGGGTGGCGACCGGATCTAGGGTAATCGCGGGACACGAGGCCTGGGGTCCTTCTTTGTGTTTAGCTTTGGGCTTAACATGCGGTTGTAAATATTTGTGTAATGTAGCTTGTATTTGTAGTTTAGATTTAGTGTTTTGTAATGTGTTTTATTGTACCAATAAACTGGGAGCGGAATCCCGCTCCCGTGAAAGAACCAGGCTGGACTCGGGTTGTTGACAGACCACATGGGAAACGGCGAATTGGCGGCGGTACGCGATTTCCTACAAACCTTTGTCGAATGTTTCACAATCAGTTCGAAAAGTCGAACCTGGTCGAACTCTGACCTCGACTGGTTCGCTACAACCGTAATCGTATACTCTCTGCACCTCTATGTGATGGCCAAGCCGATCCACCTCTCCTCCACACGCCCGAAATGCCGAGAGAGAAAACGAGTGCAAAGGAGATGACTACCGACTAAATCGCATCTCGCGCCGTCAATATTACTTTAAAAAAAATGTTTTTGCGTAAAATTTATTTTTTGACACGCGTGTCCCAACCAGACTGCCCCAAAAAAAAAATTGTTTTTTTTTTTAAGGGCCCTTTAAAGCTCTTTTGCTATTGCTTGTTTGCTGCACATTAATTTGCTATAGTTGAACGTTTGAAATTGTGATTGTCTGCTATTTCATGTTGGACTCCATTGACAACCCTAGCTTAGTTTCTAAAACAAGTTGTTTTGCTGCCATGCGCAAGTTGACATCGACCGGCGGGTGGAGTATTGAAGAGGCAGCGAAATATCTCTCGCTATTTCCCAACAATGCACTCGAACAAAGCACAATGTTCTTGGGACATCCACAGGATGTCCATTATGAACCTGGTGTTTGTCCTTATGATATCCGGAGGATGTCCTGGCCATATCCCACAGTGACCAAGTGTTACAGGCTTTTAGGTCCTCAGGTTGTCTGCAGGACATCCTACACAATCAAGCCAGGATGTCTTGAGGATCTCTTATGGATTGTCCATAAAAGATCCTCAAAGCATCCTGGTTTGATCCTGTGGGATGTCCTGCAGTCAACCTGAGGATCTATCAGCCTGTGACGCTTGGACACTGTAGAGAGTTGGCCAGCACATCCTGTGAACATTACCAGGACGCACACCAGGCTTGCAATCGGCCGTGTGTGAAATATATGTGTGAACTGGTGTATGGGCGTGCTAGTCCAAACAATTTGCAGACCATCCACAGCTGTGCATAGTCAGCAGGTTGTTTGGGCTAGCATGCATACACCACTTTGCTCATGTATTTTGTGTATGGTCAATTGCGTTACGATCCTTCACGAGATGCTGCATTGGTTGCACAATGCATCGACTGGAATGTAGCATTTTGCAACTTTCCCGTCTTCTCTTGCAAGCGGACTTAATGCAGTCAGTCTTGCTGAAGACAAATTATTATTGGGGGACGCAATTATGTAAAGAGATTAGCCGCATAAGAGGGGCATTAAAACAAACTTTTATTTTACACACTTTTTACAAAAGAGGGTTGACATATCCACCGTAATGTTCTGGCTAGTGGAGAGATCTCAGCACTAAGTAGACACATCTTAAAGGTAAACATAACCCGACTTAAAGAACTTTAAAAAAAAAAAAAAAAGTTCCCAAAATGATTGGTTCTTCCTGGTGGCTAACGGGTTGGTGGCTCTGAGACACTGTTTTGCGTGACGCAGCCAGCTAGCTGCCATTACTTCAGCCTTGCAGTTTGTCCCACTGCCCACCATAGCCCCCTCGTTTTAGACCTCTAAAAACAAGTCTTAGGAATGAACGTTATCTAGAAAGAGTTGAACAGCATCCTCATTCGTGCTACAGACATGCACACATAATGCACAATTACAGTCAAACCCGTTTATAACGAACAGCAGGAAACGCTAGGATCTGTTCGATATAGCAGGTAGTTTGATATAGCAAAAACCCATTTACAACAAAATTCCATGATGCATTCGTTGTAAGGTGAGAGCTTCTCTTTCTTTTTCATCTCTTCGCTTCCATTTTGTAACAAAGTGCTAGAAATTTTTTTTTTGTTTGCATGAGCGCAGAGTGTGTTCTTTTAGCTTATCTCCCCTTCTGAATCACTTCTCTTTGTAGGCGGCCGCTTTGGGATGAAGTTTTTTTTTTGTGTGCTTGCAGTGTTTTTTTTAGCTTTCTCCCCTTCTGAATCGCTTCTCTTTGTCGATTTTGCTCGCACCTTGAGCTTTTGGAATTTTCTTTCTTTCCTAGATTTTTTTTGGGGGGAGGGACAGGCTAGAGGACGATTGTTTGCACGTTTTTAGAAGCCTTCCAGAGGGGGGGGAAGTTCGATATAGCCAATATGTTGTTTGTTACAAAAAGTACATTTTACATGCATTTTTATTTCAATTTTCCGTGAGTTCGATATCGACAATAATTTGCTGTACATGGGGTCGTTTGTCAGGGCCCAGCGAGCTTCCACGCTAGCTCGCTTACGGTTTCAGAACAAAGGCACTCTCATAACCGGAACTCCTTTATTCCCGAGCACTCGCGCTGCACCGCGCGCTCCGCTCGCCGTCTTGCGTCCCTCCTCCGCTCCCTCTCCGTCCGCTGATCTCCCCCCCCACAACCGCGCATCCTGCGCGCCATCTCTCGAGTCTCGCGGAAGGCGTCCTCTCGATGCCGCCGTGGCGCCATCTTGTGGCGACGCATGCAACTGCGTGCCTCTCCTAACACGTTCTAAACAGGTTTCACTTAAGAGCTTGTGGCTATGAGACAGCAGCTACAAACTATAACCATGGTAAATGAAGTACTTATTTGGCCACTGTCCGAACAGCTAGACATGGAAAGGCAAAATGCTACACCCTATACTTACGGTGCATAATGTCATAGCATGTGAGATCCATTAAGTTTAGCCTCTCAACGGCCACTTTATGACTGAATAGGCC